ATTCCAGACCCAATGTTCTATATTCTTGCATCTAAGTAGTTAACGCCCAAAATGCAGGATACACAACAAGGAACTTCCCTTAAGCATTCAGAAGGGTGGATACCGGCAGGGAATCTGAATAGGGAGGACATCTGAGCAAGGTCAGCAAGCAAGGCTGCAGCCACTCCCAGTCGGGGGCCAGGGCCCATGGCGCCCACAAGACTCCACTGTTTATTTAAATTCAGATGACAGTTTATCAGATGGACTCAGGAAGAATCAGAGCCTTTCCAGTCTTGATGCACATCCTCACCCGAAGTGGGTATCCTGAAGGAAGAGTAAGGCCCAACACTAACTGACCTCATATACAAATCAGCGCTTGAAGAACAGAGATGCACTGAGAATAAACACCGGCCTAACTTAAGAGAACAGGAATGTTGCAGAAGGACTGCGAGCATAAAAAGGGTATAGCAGAAGTTGGAAAATTTGGAGTGAGGTCCTCGAGGATGGAATTTTAGTAAAGAGAAAGTTAGAACGGATGGGACATGATAGTTGCAATACAGAAATAGAAAAGAGACAGAACTGGAAAAAAGACAGTGCAGTCCTTCAGCTTAGTTTCCTTGCTCTCTCTTTATTACTGTATCTTCTTTTTAGATTAAGGGGGTCCTTAGGAGATCAATATTCCTGGTTTCCTTGGATGTGTGTGTGGGTGCAAGGACCTTTATGATGTGCCCTGTGTTTTGTCTGGCAGAACAAAACACAGGGAACTTTTGAGGCAGGCCTAAAACTCTCTATGTAGCCCAGGTTAGCCTTGAACTTGAGGTAATCCTCCTGCCTCTGTTTCTCAGAGGATGCATGACACAGAGCATCTGGGGATTACTGGAGAGCCCCATCTTTTACTGAGCAGGTTAGACAGGTTCTGGTATCTTGGCCAATAGAAAACGAAGCTATCCAAGCTGCATAGGGTGGCACATGCCTGTAACCCCAGAGCTTAAGATGTAGAGGCAGGAAGGGCTTAATCAGGATGTAGAAGTATAAAAACTTCTACTGGGGGCTTAGTTTCCATTTCTGGAATCCTCTGCAATTCCTGGCACGGATCTTGTGTGATGCAGAGATGTGGGATGCTGTATGAGAAAACAGGTACCAGGAAGCTTGAGTGTCCCGTCTTTGACAGTAACACTGGTCCATGTGACACTAGCTGTGTAAGTGACCATATTCTCTGAGTCTGCTAAGGACTTTCCAATGACTCAACCTGGGGAAGCATCTCAAGTTAGTACTCTTTTTGTGTCTAAACTTGCATTGAATTTTTGACAGAGCTCATTGGCCCCCACAAAGATCTATTTAAAAAAAAAAAACTAAAACAAAACAAAAAATCAGGACTCTGACAGTCTTTGAGTTTTCATTAATTGGTAACTGTTATGCAAATGTTTTGCCTAACCTAGAAAACTTTGCCAACCTAGAAAAAAAGGGAGAGACAGAGGGGAGCTTCACAAATCAAAATTCAAGTTAACCTTCTCTCATCGATTATGTGTGAATAAAGCCTATTAATATAAATACATATCAAGGATCATGTGCTTTTCCATTTAAAAGAAATATCCAGCTCTCCCCCTGTTTATTTGATTGCTCATTGGCTGCAGGGTTTGTTTACTTTGCTTTGTTTTTTAAGACAAGTCTTTGCTGTGTAACCCTGCCTGGCTCCATACTTTAGAATTCACCCAAGCTGACCATGAACTTGTGGCAAGCCTTCTAACCTTAGCCTCCCAAATGCAAGGATTCCCATGTTTAAATAAAAGGATTCCCATTCAACTCCCAAGAACTTCAGATTTAAATACGCGTTTCAATCAGAGGGAAATTATAATATACTTTATGAAGCAAAAAGAAGAGCCTGGATACATTGATTATTTCTGCTTTCCATATCACTGTCCATCACACCTTAAATCTGTGGACAAAAGGCCTCTTGATTATTTACCTGTGCTAAGAAATGACCTGTAACCTGTATGTACTTTTGACTAGTCTCTATTTACAGCATGGGGCTGAGTTGACCTAATGTTTAATCTCTGGAAAGGCCTGGACTGTGGCATTGATCTTCTACTAACTAAAGGTAAACAATGTTATGTTAACATTGGTCTGTGAGTTGTTTCATGGTAGCACATGGTAGAAACTAATTAATCTGTCAGGACTATTTAAGAGTAGTAACTATATTTATAATTTGCCCAGACTTTGAGTGGAACTTGGAGGAACCGAGGCAGGTCACATAATAAAATAAGCCCATGTCACCTAGCCGGTGCAAGCTTTGGGCTTCCTGGCACCAAGACATTTAGACAAGTCAGCCTAAGGTGGGTTTAACAGCCTGAAGGAGAAGTGAATCCATCACATCATGAGAGAGCCTGCCCTTGAGATCGCTAGAGCCAACCAGTGCTGTGCCACCTCCCGTTGCTACTTTATTCATTACCTGTAATAGTATGGTCCCATGAGTTCAAACTGGGTCCCGCAAATCCTTTTACTAACCAAATTCTTAAAACAATCGATAACTGGATACTTCACCCCACACTGAAGCCAGGAAGCTGGGATACATTGGCTACACTGACTCGTGGCACACATGTCAAGTGACTTCTGAAGACAGACGTCCCCAGCTGTACTTGCCAGGCCCACGACACAAACAAAGAAACTGTAGGTATAATCAATATCTTCTAGTAAGTTTGTTTTTCAGTCCTCTTCATTTCCAGGATGGATCCAGACTTTTTCTTGTGAGGCTGCTATCAAAGAACTCCAAAGGTTTTTGTGCCGGAAACTTCATTACTCTTCTTCAATCCTCAGGGGAGAAAAGATGCAATAATGAGGGAATTCTGAAAATTCTGAGTTTCAGAGACTCTAGAAACCCCAGATCCTGGGTCTAAGTGAGGTATCCATTGCCCTTTGCGATATAGCCCCCTCCCTCCAGTTCTCCTCTCCGTAACAATGTGCCCCGCCACAAACAGACCCTCCCATTCGAACCCCAAACTCTACCAGGCAACAAGTGCTGAAGACAAAGGACCGTCAACCAGGTCATCAAACAGGCACAAGTGGGTCTTCCAAAGCAGCCACCGAGGCAGCCTTTCCACTCCCTGAAACCTGGGGAGTTTGTCTTCTGGAAGAAAGAAAAAAGCACAACTTGTCTTGAGTGTTGATTGGTCAAACCTTGTCAGATACTGCAGATGAATAGTTAATGTTATAATGAAGCTCTACTCCAGTGCCTGGCATGTGATATTCCTCCCTCAGGCTCTGTTTTCTCATGTTCTAAGGACACCAGTCATTGGATTAAAGCCCACCCTAACCCAGTATGAACTGATTAGCTAATTGTGTATTTGAAGACTTTGTTTGCAAAGAGGTCATGTTCCATAGTTTGGAGTAGATGCCAATAACCCAGTACATTCCACCGTATGAAATTGCTTTGAAAATTAAATTAGAGAGGACATGTAAGATACATAAGCAAACTGAAAAATAAACCTTTTTGTTGTAATTATTTGTTGTGAACTTGGAACTGCTGAGAAAGTATGATTCATAAGCAATTTTCCTGTCCAATGTAAGTAGTGCTTATTTTAGGTAATTAAATCAGTGAATGATGCCTGAACATCAGAATATGTTTTTTAAGTACACCAAGTGATTCTTCCACGTAGGTAGGGCTAAAAGCTAACTGCCAACTAATAGGTTTCCCTGTGCTATGCTGGAGAAGCACTCTCATTAAGTGTATGTGTGGCTACTCACCCATGAACACGCAATGGGGGAGAGCCCAAGTAAGAACGTGTATCTGATGTGGTAGTAGTCTGTCAAGGAAAGCTGTAACCAGCCAGCTTGAGAGAGTTGCTGTGTGGTCTGGAACCAGCAAGGCCATAGAGGTGCAGTTGTCTGATCTCTTGGTATCACACCAATTGACAGACACGGAGCTACAAGACTAAGTTTGTGCCTTGCTGTGTATGAGAGCTGCTTTGGCCTCTTTATGATTGGCCTATTTCTCTCTGGGGGATATGTGTGGTGGTTTGAAAGAAAATGGCTCAGAAAGGGAGCGCACTGTTGGGAGATGTGGCTTTATTTGAGTAGGTGTGGCCTTCTTGGAGGAAGTCCGTCATTGCGGAGGTAGGCTTTGAGGTCACGCTCAAGCGTTGCTCAGTGTGATACTCAGTTTATTTCCTGTTGCATGCATATCAACATGTAGCAGCTACCTCTCCAGCACCATGTCTGCCTGCATGCTGCCATGTCCTTCCGTGATGATAGGATTGAACCTCTGAACTATAAAAGAGCCACCCAAGTGAAATGTTTTCTTTATAAGAGTTGCTATAGTCATGGTGTCTCTTCACAGCAATAGAAACGGAAGTTGGTACCCAGGGACTAGTAATTGTTGTGCTAGGCCTGACCATGTTTTTGTTTGGAGGAATTTGGACTTTGGTACTTTGGGTTAAGAAAGCAGTAGAATGCTTTAAGCACTGCTTAATGGGCCATATTTTGGGAGCATGGAAGACAGTGGTACTGAATGTGATTTGAACTGTGGGGGGCTAGCTCAAGAGGTTTCAGAGGAGAAGAAAATTGATATGTGACCTACCACAAAATACCTTGTGATATTTTGGTGGAAAATGTGGCTGCTTTTTGCTCTTGTCTGAAAAGTCTGCCTGAGGCTAAAGTGAAGAGTTCCAGATTAACTTCTTTGGCAGAGGAAATCCCAAAACAGCCTAATATAGACTCTGTCATGTGGTTATTAGTGTTAGCTCTGATGAAGATTTATAATGAAAAGGAGCAAACTAAGTAAATAAAAATACAAAACATACAGGTTGAGAAAAGGGGCACCAGAAAGTGGAAGAGAATAGAGCTAAATCCTGTGTTTAAGGAGATAAACAGATTAAGAAACGGAATAAAGGGAGTGGTGACCTCAGGGCAATGTCCACCTGGCTAAATTTCCAACTTGTGAAAAAGAATCAAGCAAAAGCTTAGAGCCAGGTGTGGTGGTACATGCCTTTAATCCCAGCACTGGCAGATCTCTCAGTTTGAGGCCAGCTTGGTCTATAGAGCAAGTTCCAGAACAGTCAAGATTAGGCATGGAAGAAAACTATGGAAAACCAAAAGCTGATGAATATGTAATGAAACAATATGTAATTAAACCATGTTCTAGCCCCAGCAAGACCAGAACTTGGCAGCTTCAACCATGTAGTTCTGGTTTTAGAGTCAGGGAAAAAAGAAATGGATTATGGATTTGTCTCCACACCTAAGGAAAGCTGCTGAGGCCAGGCAGGTATCAGGGGTGTCCCTGCTTGGAGGCCTAGAGAGGCCATTGCCTGAAGCTGTGAAGTTGAAGCCTGGATTGCTTTGGAGAGCCCAAGATGTTACAGATGCCAGAGCTATGGGATATTTGTCAAGGACAGCTGCTAACTCAGAGTGGAACCGGCTCAAGAGAAAGAAGTGTGTTGCAGTCAACAAAGCAGAAAGGAGTTTGGAGATCTGAAGAGCTTTTTGGCATCAGGCATGGAGATACAAAGTTTGGAGTTTGCCAAGTTGGTTTTTGGTCTTGCTTTGGTCCAGTATTCCCTCACTGTGCTCCCATCCCTATGTTTTGGTATATCCTGTACCATTATATTTTGGAAGTATGTGATCTGCTTTTTTATTTTGATTTTACAGGTGATTATAGTTAGAGACTGCATAAATCTAAAAAGATACTTTGGACTTTGGACTTTAAAAGTTTGAGACTGTGATAGACTATGGGGACTTTTGAAGTTGGACTAAATGCATTTTTGCATTATGATATGGCTATAAGTCTTTGGACACCAGGGTATGTAATATGGTGGTTTGAAAGAAAATGGCCCCCAAAGGGAATGGCACTATTAGGAGGTGTGGCCTTATTGGAGTAGGTATGACCTTCTTGGAGGGAGTGTGTCATTGTGGAGGTGGCTGAGGTCTCATATATGTTCAAGCTTTGCTCAGTGTGATACTCAGTTTATTTCCTGTTGCATGCATATCAACATGTAGCAGCTACCTCTCCAGCACCATGTCTGCCTGCATGCTGCCATGTCCCATCATGATGATAATGGACTGAACCTCTGATCTGTAAGCAAGCCACCCCAATTAAATGTTTTCCTTTATAAGAGTTGCCATGTCATGGTATCTCTTCACAACAATAGAAACCCTAACTAAGACAGGAAGGGAGTACTGACTCCATCTTGAAACTTTTCAGATGTGAAGTTTGGTCTCTCTCTTTGCTGTTTTGTCCACCTTGGCGAGTCTGCTACATGCTCCCACCCTCATACACTGCACTGCCACGAGTGCAAAGTAACGAATCTGTGACCTGGGATCAAGACTTCTAAACCCATGAACCAAATAAACCTTTCTTCCTTAGTAGTTGATTTATCTTGGATATTTTGTCATAGAAAGGGAAAGGCCATTTACACAGATCCATTTGTTACTTAGTAGCCACTTCAGGCATCTGAATGACTGTTGTAATATTGAAATTCTTAAGTTCAAGTAAATCTTAATTTATCATGACTCCAAATTATAAGATCAGTGATTCTGGTTACTCAAATGCCAAAGAGAAACTATAAAATGATTCCTTTAAGTGAAAAGACAAAAGTGTGACATATGTGTGTATAGGAAACAGTACTTACTATGTGCAGTTTCAGGCATTTATTGTACACCTTGGAAGCATATCTCTCAGATAAACCAACTACTATATGTGGAGATGGTGTTTGGGGAGGTAATTAGGTTCAATAAAGGCACAATGTTTGCAATTTCACAATGGGACTCCATAGTACCCTTACCACTAGAGACTAGAAAATTGGCCTTGCCACCTCACACCCAATATGAGCTAGTTTCTTTATAGTTTAAGCAAGTTGAAGATAGAGCTGTTATTTGCCAGCGAATCCTCCTGACAGAAGCCAGACAGATACATTTTCTTTTCAGAACACTAAGCATAACCCATTAACAGGTTGACTATTGTCAAGCCTCTGATGAAGTTCAAAGAAACAACACTGCTACAACTCTCCAGAGGAACCTTGTGGGAGGAGTGGGGATATTGAGAAATCTATTTGCTGATCTTCTTTCCCTGTCAAGCTCCTCCTCCTAGTGCTCAGCTCTTTTTGCAATAGGCCCTAGGATATACTTTCAAATAGCGTGTCTCTGTCCTATTCAGAATCACTACTAGAAACTTGAAGCTCCAGCTCCCTTCTCCACAATGAACCACAGTGCTACAAACCATCGAATACCTCTAAGTGATGGGAACAGCATTCCTATCATTGGGCTTGGTACCTACTCAGATCCTGCACCGGTACGTACGTGTGTGTTGGTGTGTGTGTGTGTGCATAATAATAAAAGCAAGATCTAATGACTACTATCAATGACTACTGTTTACCTGAATGGATTTTAAATCAAAGGTTAAACTCTATCAGTTCATGAATTAATGTTTTCCAATTGCAGAAATCAATTTTTCTTTATCCTAAAGGCCAACAATGAGAGTAAAGTGAGGGACACAGGACTTGTGAATTTATGATTTATAAATTGCTTTTCATTTTTGTCCAAAAATTTTTAGTTCAATCTAACAAACATTTAATGGATAGCTGCCAAGCAGTCATATCCAAGCTTTTTGAATTGCGACACAGTGCCATCATCTGCAGAGTTCATGCTATAAAAGATCGAAAATAAAGTCAAAACATTTTAAGTAAGTTTGTGAGTTTGCATAGAGATGCATTCATAGCCACTCATATCCAGATGTGGCCTGCAGGCTGCAGGCTAGGCTCACCTATAAGCATGAGTCTATAGAGGCTTCCAGTATGAAGAGAATTGTCTTGCTATGTGGGCCTTTAAACTCTAAGAGAAAACATAGGCTCCTTAACAACTGTAGAAGCAATGAAGGCCGAGTCTGGTCCTCTAACTGTGCCCGATATCTGAAAACACAGAAAGGAGAAGAATCCAAATCTGCAGAAAAGGGTCTGCACAGAAGAATCCTTCCCTCGTGGAGGTTTGGGGCCATCATTGTTTACCTGGGTTGCTTTGATCTCCTCATAATGTAGACTCAGGAGGTGGAGAGCATGATGGAGCCAAACTGGTCACTTCATGGTGACTGGGAAGCAGACACAAAGTGATGGTGTCAGAGAAGCAGCATTGGGGGCTTTCTGAAGCCCACGTGTGGTCATGTCACACTTCCATTCCCTATCAATTACAAGTTTCACGTTCCTTACCCTGCACTCCAAGCCTTTACAGGTTAGCTGACTTGTCAGTCCAGCCACCCAGCCATTATCACTCTCCCTACATGCAACTCACAGACTAGGGCTAAGGAGATGGCCAAGAGGGTAAAGTACCTGCTTCACAAACATGAGGACCTGATTTCACACCCCTGGCACCCAAACAAAAAAACCAGGCACGGTGGCATGTGCCCCTAACCCTAGTGCTGTTGGGGCATAACAGGCAGATTCCCAGTGCCTCATTGGCTAGAACTCCAGATTCAGTGAGAGGCCTTGTCTCCAAACAAAGCAAAATAAACGAATAGAAACAGAAGAGTATTTGGCTCAGTGGGTAAAGGGACTTGCTCTGATAATGTGAGTTCAAACCCTGGGACCAACCTGGTGGAAGGAGAGGCCTGACTCCCACAGGTTGTCCTCTGTCTTCCACAATTGCACCATAGAGTATACTTGAAATTGGTCCCTGGCCTTCACCCTTCACACACACATCCACAGGTGAGTTTACTCACACACACACACACACACACACACACACACACACACACACACATATTCATACACACACATATATGTCACATTTGCACACAGACAGACCCAAAAAAAGGAATATGATCTGAGTTTCATAGTAACTCTCCCATCTCAACAACTTTGAACATACTGTCCTCTCTTTCTCTACCTGCATCACCCTGTCTTTGGACTTGCTCATTTGTCTGCTGCTGAACTTGGTTTGTATGTACATGTGTGAGGGATGTGCATGTGTGTATAACTGTGTGTGAGGCCAAAGGTTGGCACTGGGTGTCTTTTCAGCTGCTCTCCACCTTATTTTTTGAGACAGAGTCTCCCACTGAACCTAGAGCTCACCAGCTTCTACACTGGCAGACCAGTGAGCTCCAAGGATACACATGCCTGTCTCTACCCCTCAACCAGCACTGGAGATACAGATGCACCCCATCACGCTCGGCTTTTATGTGGGTGCTGGGTATCCAGTCTCAGGCCCTCTTACTAGCTTGGCATGCTGTTTATCAGTGAGCCATTTCCCAGCCCCCTCTACAAAACGTTTAAGGCTCAAATCAAAGGAGATCAATCAGTACCTCCTCCCTCTCAGGACACCCCAATTTACACGTGTTCACACACAGCCCCTTGTTGTTGACTCTGTAGCACTTATCCGAATCGTAACTACTAACACCCTGCAGTCTTTCCCACTGGCCTGAGATGTCCATTAGAAAAGACTATTGCTTCTTCAACTCTAGAGACTCATGATAATGTCTAGTATATGATGCAGGTTCAAACAGTACTCGTTCATCTAATGGAAAAGTTTGAGAGAGGGATGTGCACATCAGAGGGTATAGAGATATAAATAAAGTTTAAAAAGCAACAGCTAAAAGTATTCCAAACATTTAACTATGTGCCAGGAACTCTGAACATGTTTTGTACTACATGCATTTTCTAATGTAATCCTTACATTACAAAACCAATGCCAGTTAAGCCCTCAGACCAATAGGGAAACATCATAGGGAGATGGAACACATTGCCCCAGATTAGGCTGTCGAGTCCCAGAGCTGAGATGTGAACCTATGTCCTCGTCTGTGCAGACATTCAGACTCTGCACACTGCTTTGGTAATACTGAGATCACATCAACTTTCTGAAGCTCCAGTGCCGAGGGCAATCTGGGGTGGGTGGGTGGAGTGCTGAAGGAGGCAGCCCTCTATGGTTTCTTCTGTCTCCATGGTCTTCCAATCATGACAGCAGGGAACTGAGAACTGTTGTGTGGGCTACAAAACAATGTATTTTGGGATGTCCTTTTTACCATGAACTTAAAACCCATTTCTCTTCTCCCCACATTTATCCTCATTGTCACATAAGGTCCCTAGAGAGACCTATCTGGCGGTGAAAATGGCCATTGACGAGGGGTACCGGCACTTTGATGGGGCCTACCTCTACAAAAATGAACATGAAGTCGGCGAGGCCATCAGAGAAAAGATAGCAGAAGGGAAGGTGAAGAGGGAGGAGATTTTCTACTGCGGAAAGGTGAGTCATCTCTGACTATGTAGATACAGTCAGCATGGTATAGGGTGGGGTACAGCTCAGTAGGACAGCCTGCCTCGTGTGCACAAGGACCTAGATGTGATCTCAAACATTGGAGCACAATAAAAGAAAGAAGAAGAGGAGGAAAAGGAGGAGGAAGTGGTCAAGTTATCCTTTGAAACCCTTTAATTTGCTGGAAAAAAAATGCCTGTGTATGCATGCACATCAATTTAACATAATGTGGCTCACACATAGTGAAATATGATCACAAGTAAACCGAAAGGCCATGTGTAACTGCCTGGAGCCAGGTATTTTGGTGAATTGGGGAGATCAGAGAGACAGAACAGGCCACAGCTTCCTCATCTCACCAATTCCTCAAGTGATCCTGTTTCTTCAGACTGGATGCCTCTGGGTTCTCATCCAGAATGAATCTCAGTTGAACTGCTGCTCTCGAAAGCCTGAAAGCTTAACCAGCCAAATGCTTCTAGTTTCTGGTCTTCACACCTTATGTATCTTTCTGCCTTCTGCCATCACTCCCTGGGATTAAAGGCATGAGTCACCATGCTTGGCTATATCCTTGAACAGATGGATTTCTGCCTCTGGAATGCTAGGATTAAAGGTGTGTGCTATCACTGCCTATCCTCCATGTTTAATATTGTGGCTGTTCTGTCTCTGACCCCAGACAAGTTTATTAGGGTGCACAATATTTTGGGGAACACAATACCACCACATTCCAGCAGTGAGGTATTTAGCATTTACAAACCTTGGTTCCCCTCTTTAAGATGGGAATAATAAAGCCAAGCATTTCATAAACTTATGAATTAACATTTACAAAGCACTTCAACTACCTAATATGAAACTAATATTTTATGTCTTTGTTGAACAAAAGAACATTAAACAGGGTCTGTAATTCCAGCTACTCAGGAGGCTGAGGCAGGAAGATGCCTGCCTGGGCTACAGATAGAGTTCAAAGACAGCCTAAATAACTTAACAAGCCTTCATCTTCAAAGTTAAAAAGGAATTATGCTGTAGCTCAGTGGTACAGTGTTTACCTAGCAGGCACAAGGCCCTGGGTTCAATCCTTAACATCAAAGACAAAAAAGAAAAAGTGAATTAAAATGGAAAGCAGAATTTTCACTTGGATGGAATGGCATTGATAATGCCAGTGGAGCCCATAGTGATAACAGGAGCATTTTTCTACTATTCTCTCTCTCCTTTACATTTTTTCTATTCCATGCTCCCTCCCACCATCACTAGGATTTGAACCCAGGACCTTGTGTAGGTAAGGCAGGCATTGACTCACTAAGCTACATTCCCAACTTTTTAAATAGTACGTGTACATGTGTATGTGTGTATGTGGTATGTGTGTGTGTATGTAGGCCAGAAGCCAACTTCAGCTGTCATGCGTCAGCAGCCACCCATCTTGTTTTTTTGTCTTACTAAGACCTGGGGACCACTGATTAGGTCGGTCTGGCTGCCAGCAAGCCACAAGGATCTACTTATCTCTGCCTCTCCAGCCCTGTGATTGTGCAGGGCATTTGTGCATGTGCTACCTGTCAGGAATTGTATGTAGCAGGACCCCCAGATGCAGTGGTGGGCTGGCCGGCAGCCCAGTCCATGTGGGCATGGCAGCGGGTGGAGATACACCACCCAGACACTGCATCCATGTGGAAATGGTTTATTATAATAGAAAGATGAAACGGCAGAAAGACAGAAAAGGGGGGGCAGGGGTTTGAAAGTGCACACCTCATGGTAGGAAGTGGAAGAGAGAGGGGAAGGGGTGGAGTTTTCCCTTAAGAATAGACTTCTATGTCAGGGCATAGGGTGGTGCCAAGGGGCAGGATCAGAATTAACACTACCAAGACTGGTTTTTTCAAATGGGGCCAGGGAATTGAGCTCGGGTCCTCATACTTCTATGCCCAGCCCTATGCTGACACAACTATCTCACCAGCCCCGTCCCCTGACATCACCCCTATCAACCAACCCTTCTTTAAGCTTTAGTTTGAGACAGTCTTGACAAGTTGCCTAATCTGACCTAGAACTCACTCTGCACCCTTGTAGCTAGAGTTTTCCTGCCTGGCCCACAGTCAGGACAAATCTTTGTCACCCGCCAGTCCCACAGCCACTCAGACCCAACCAAGTAAACACAGAGACTTATATTGTTTACAAACTGTATGGCCATGGCAGGCTTCTTGCTAACTGTTCTTATAGCTTAAATTAATCCATTTCCATAAATCTATACCTTGCCA